TTATTGAACTTTGTCAGTTAAATAGGTGAAAAATATTGTCCCGTTTTTGCTTTAGGTGTTTCTTACAGTGAGTAAAGCTAAGCATCTTTACATATGTTTAAGGTCCTTTTGTGTCTTCATTTCTCTGTGCAGACCTTGTCCTTTTTCATTTGCTTGATTTGTAAAGGTACTGTAGTATATATTAGGGAAATTAAGCCTTTGTGATATATATTGCAAAAAATTGTCTTTGTTTGACATTTTTCTTTGATTTTATTGTTTTTCCTAAAGATATTTTCCTTCTTTTTATTGTTTTGCCTATCTAATGGGTATAAAATGAATTGTTTCTGGAACTAAGACTAATTAGTACTTTTTTGCATATTTTTTGATTATTTGCATTTTCTCTTCTGGATATTGCTGCTTTGAAATCCTTTATTTTTTATTGAGTTATCTTTTTTTTAACTGAAACCTAGAAACTGTTTGTATATTAAAGATATTATCTCTTCTTTATGTTATAAAAATGTTCACCTGTCTGTCATTACTCTTAATATTTGATGATGTCTTTTTTTTTTGTAACAGTTTGTTAAGATATAATTCATATACCATGCATTCACCCATTTAATCTATAAAATTCCATGACTTCTAATATATTCAAGGAGTTGTGCATCCACAATCAATTTTAAAACATTATCATAACCCCAGAAAGAAGGCCTGTACTCTCCAGCAATCAACCTCAATCCTCCCCATTTACCCCAGCCCCAAGTACATACTAATCTGTTTTCTTTCTCTATAGATTTGCCTATTCTGGACATTTAATGCAAATGAAATCATATAATGTATGTGTTTTTGGTGTTAATGTTATATTGTTTCCATGTTTCATCCATGGAGTAGCATGTATCAATACTTTATTACTTGTCATTGCTGAATAATGTTCCATTGTGTGGATATACCATATTTTGTTTATCCATTCATCACTTGGTGAGCATTTGAGTGGTTTCCACCTTTTGGCTGTTATGAATAATACTGTTGTGAGCATTCATGTGCAAATTTTTGTGTGGACATAGTTTTCATTTCTCTTGGCTTTATACTTAGGAGTGAAATTGCTAGGTAAAATGGGGACTCTGTTTAATCTTTTTAGGAACTGCCAGATTGTTTTACAAAGCAGCTGTACCATTTTGGATTACCACCAGCAAAGTATGACAGTTTTTGTTTCTCCACATCCTCTCTAGCACTTATTATTATCTGACTTTTCATTATAGTCATCCTATTGGGTGTGATAACCTTTCTTTGGAATGGGTACAAATATGAATTTCTTCCAGTCAGTTGGCCAGGTAGCTGTCTTCCATATTTCTTGGCATAGATGAGTAAGTGCCTCCAGTGCAGCATCTGTTTGTTGAAACGTCTCGGTGAGTATTCTGTCGATTCCTGGAGTCTTGTTTTTTGCCAATTCCTTCAGTGCCGCTTGCTGAAAATAATTCAAAAATGGTTACAGCTGTATATTCACAGGGGACTTCCAGTAATGCAAGCTGGATTCAGAAGAGGATGTAGAACGAAGGATATCATTGCTGATATCAGATGGATCTTGGTTCAAAGCAGAGAATACCAGAAGGATGTTTACTCGTGTTTTGTTGCCTATGCAAAAGCATTCAGCTGTGTGGATCATAACAAATTATGAATAACATTGAGAAGAATGTTGTTGTTATGTGCCATCGAGTTGGACCCGACTCATAGCGACCCCTCCTGGGTTTCCGAGGCAGTATCACTACAGAAGTAGATTGCCCCATCTTCCTTCCGAGGAGTAGCTGGTGGGTTTGAACTGCCAGCCTTCTGGTTAGCAGTCAAGTGCATTAGCAGTATGCTACCAGAGCTCCCATTGAGAAGAATAGGAATTCCAAAACACTTAATTGTGCTCATGAAGGACCTGTACATAGACCAGGAGGCTGTCATCCAAATAGAACAAGGGGATACTGCATGGCTTAAAATCAGGAATGGAGTGTGTCAGGGTTTAATCCTTTCCCATACTTGTTCTGTGTGTGTGCTGAGCAAATAATCAGAGAAGCCGGAGTATATGAAGAAGAACGTGGCATCAGGATTGGAGAAAGACTAAGATACGCAGACAACACAACCTTGCTTGCTGAAAGTGAAGATAATTTGAAGCACTTACTGATGAAGATTAAAGACTACAATCTGCACTATGGATTACAACTCAATGTAAAGAAAACAAAAATCCTCACAACTGGATCAATAAGCAAGATCATGATAAATGGAGAAAAGAGTGAAATTATCCAGGATTTCATATTACTTGGATCCACAAAACATCATTGAAAGCAGCAGTTAAGAAATCAGATGCAGTGGAGAAATCTGCTTCATAAAACCTCTTTAAAGTGCTCAAGAGCAAAGATATCTCTTTGAAGACTAAGGTGTGCCTAACCCAAACCTTGGCATTTTCAATTGCCTCATGTGAAAGTCACGTGAAAGCTGAACAAGGAACACGGAAGACCAAAGAAGAGTTGATGCTTTTGAGTTGTGGTGTTGACAAAGAATACTGAAAGTACTATGGACTGACAAAAGAACAAATCTGCCCTGGAAGAAGTGCATCGAGAATGCTCCTTGGAAGCAAGAATGGCCAGCTATCATCTTCACCTACTTTGGTCATGTTGGCAGAAGGGACCATTCCATGGAGAAGGATATCATGCTTGGTAAAGTGGAGGGTTACTGAAGAAGGGGTCAACGAGATGGATTAACACAGTGTCTGCAGTGATGGGCTCAGATATAGCAAGGATTGTGAGGCTGGCACAGGAGCAGGCAATGTTTCGTTCTGTTGTACATGAGTCGGAGCCGACTAGATGGCACCTAACAACAACAGTGGGTTTTTGATTGGCATCCTTTATGGATATGATGTTAAACATCTTTTTACAAGGTTACTGCTTTTTTTTTAGCATATTCTTGGAGAAATATCTATTGAAACTTTTTGCCAATTTTTTACTGAGTTATTTATCTTATCATTGAGTTATAATAGTTATTTACATTATGTGTCTTTTGACAAAAGTAATTCTTACATTTTTCTTGAATAGCCATTGTTGTTGTTGTTATGTGCCATCAAGTCGGACCTGACTCACAGTGACCCCTCCTTGGGTTTCCGAGGCAGTATCACTAGGGCAGTAGATTGCCCAACCTTCCTTCTGAGGAGTGGCTGATGGGTTTGAACTGCCAGCCTTCTGGTTAGCCATCACGTGCCTTAGGCACTACACTACCAGAGCCATTTAATGAAGAAGGAGCTCTGGTGGCACAGTGCCTAAGGTATTTGACTGCTAACCAGAAGGTTGGTTGGTTCAAACACACCAGCCACTCTGTGAAAGGAAAATGGAGCAATCTACTTCCATAAAGATTTACCTCCTCAGAAACCCAATGGGAGTTACTATGAGTCAGAATCAACTTGATGACAGTGGGTTTGGTTTTTGGTATTTAATGAAAAATCCATCTTTTCTCTCCTTTAACAAATATTTATTGAGCAAATACTCAGATACATTCTGTGCTAAGCCCTGAATAAATAAAAAGATGGAGAGTTTACATCTTAATGCAAAGATGGACTTGTGAATACATAATTTCTATTCAATAAGATGATGTTTAAATGAAAGTTTATTAAAATCATTTAGAGTTTGAAAAGAAATACCAATGTCTTCCCAGAGAAGAGGGAAGAGGAACGAAGAAGTAAAAGTTGGTGCATGTAAAGTTTGAGAATGAAAGAATGAGAATCACTCCCTTAGATTTTTCATTAATTCAAAAGATACTTCTTAAGACATTTAAACATTCAAAATGGTTTTTTAAGTGTAAAAGATTTATTTTCACTGCTTCCTCAAGTTGCATTTAATGCATACATCTTACAGAAAACAAGCAGGTATCTTTTGTGATGAATATGTCATGCTGATTTCTTAGTCCCCTTGTACATTCTATAACCTAACATTTCTAGGAGAACAACTCATTTCACATTCATATAAATAAACACAATAAACCATTTTCCTATGGAGATACTTGAATCCACGAACAAATATTCATAGTTGTTACTGAAATAATTCATGCATACTAAGAAGAAATATTAGCTAACTATCTTTCTTTAGTTTCGAATATTTACTATCACATAGTGCACATTTCCTTACAAAGGAATCACTTCACTAGAAGAGATCACTTCATATCATGTAGTTATGTTTCAAACTAATGTTACTTATATAAAATTGTTTAAATATCTAACCTTTTTTTGGTGGCGATTATACAATAAATGTCATTATTTTTTATAATTGTTATAGATTTTCAAAGGTACTCATCAATTATTTTATGGTTATCTTTCTAGAACAGTTATCTAAGGTACACAAAATTATTGACTCAGAAACTTTGACCAGATAAACAAAAAAAATCTAGTTTGAGATACAAAGTGCTAAATGTTCTATTTGTTATTCTTAGAATACATTTTAATTGGTTTGCATTTGACACCTCTCTGTCAGATTCTGAGTTACTCTTGGAATTTAGTTGACCAGTTGAAAAATCAACTGTAGTTATGGTATGATGATATAATTATCTCACCTGTATATTTCCTAAGGAGCTCTGGTAGCACAGTGCCTAAGCATCTGACTGATAACCAGAAAGTTGGTGGCTAAACCCACCAGCCACTCCATGGAAGCAAGTCTGGGCAATCTACTTCCATAAAGATTTACCACCTCGGAAGCCCAATGGGGGTCACTATGAGTCAGAATCGACTCAGCAGCAGTGGGTTTGGTTTTGGTTTTATATATTCAAAGCACCTCGAGTGGTTAAAGCATTGGATTGTACCAAAAGGTCAGTGGTTCAAACCCACCAGCTGCTCTCCAGGAGAAAGATGAGGCAGTCTGCTTCTATAAAAATGTATAGCCTTGAAAAGTCTTTGGGGCAGTTCTACTCTGTCTGTAGGGTCAGTATGAATCAGAATTGACTTGACAGCAGTTGGGTTTAAAACATAACAGTAATGATAGTCTGTTCTCTCTTTTTCACAGTTCTCAGTGGTCTCTGTTCTAATGACTGTCCTCGTAAGATAACGGTAAGTAAATATAAGCCTCAGTTGCAAATATTTCTGTCAGTAAGAATATCATGACAGAAGTGCAGATAGGTAGATATACAAACAAGTTGTTATGGGTCATAAAAACAAAGCAGTCATTATGGGTCACTATCAAATTCTTCTTGCTCTTTGGATGTGATTACAGTATATTTTAGTGCTTGTGGTAGTTAAAGTTGTGTGTCAACTTGGCTGGGCCTGGTTGAGTGTCTGGGCAGCTGGATGTAGTTATTTCCCATGGTGAGATTGGTAATTAACTCCATGTGGAATCTACTGGAGCAGCTGAGTAGCTGCTTTAGAGATGTGGGTTGTTTCTAATATATAAGAAGCAACTTTTAGGCAGGTCTCCAGCATGTGACATGCTTGAACCCTGCATGAAGCCAAGTTGTTGTTCAGCAGCCTGGCATGCCCTGCTGATCTTGGGACTTGAATTAGTGGCCTGCTACATTGTTGGTAATATCAGGGCTGTGCCTTTTAACTTATCGACCTCGGGTTTGTCAGCCTCAGTCAGTAGCTGCCTGAGTGTACAAAAGCCTCCAGCTTCAGTGGGACGGGCACAGGAGGCAAAGCTGAAACCCAAGGTTGAAGGGCTTTCACCCAGCCCCCAGAGCCTACTAGCACTTTGAACTCAGACTTCTAGCCTCCAAAATGCTAAGGGAATAAATCGCTGTTTGTTCAAGCCATCCCATTTGTGGTCGCTTCCTGTCAGAGCGGTACTAGGGAACCAAAACAGTGCTCAGCAGCGCTTTACTAGAAATACAATGCCTTTCCTCAAAAGCTTCTCTCCTCAGAGGTCACCTCCTTTGTGAAGCCTTCTCTGATAGCCTTGGAAGAATGACCACTCCTTCCATTATTTCTGTTCCTCCTACTATTTTGACATATATAATAGCTGATGATTACATTCTTCCCACACTAGACTCTAGCCCCTTGAGAGCAGGAACCAGGTCATATTTGTATACTTTAAATATGATCCCAGTTGAGACAAAGGGGCCTGGCTTTTCCCTTCTGCACCAATCAGACACTGCACTACATGCCAGTCCCCAGGAAGAGGTTGTCACCTGGGCTAGGCAGCAGCAATGGCTGAGAGCAGTTTCAGGGAGGAACCCAGTCAGTTCAGGGGAAGTGCCTCAGCCTTGAAGGGAAGATCTGGAGGAGATGCTGTCACGTCCACTACAACACACATGCGCTGCCCAGTCACACCCGTACGTGTTCGGATTGGTATTAAAATGTAGAGGTGACTTATCAGAGGCTAATATTAACTTGGTTATTCGGGGATTTTTCAACCTAATTTTTGGATTATTCAGACCACTTGTTCTTCATCCTGATTCTCATTGACCCACTCAGTGCCTCTTTCAGCACATGGTCAAGCAAAGAATTTTTAAAAGTTGAAATGGAACCCATTCATTTTACCCTCAAACTCTAGCAGAAAGTTTGATGGGAAAGGCTGTAGATTAAGGTAGCCCAGCCTAGACTTCTGAGGTCATTGATGCCCCTTTATCTTAAATATATCATATGGAGAATAGAATAATTTAGAAAGTCACATAAGGCCAGCATGCAGAGGTACTTGTGTATTGATTACTCTAACAGTCCAGCCTCTCTGAACTTCTTTATAGATGTTATATCTGCCTCTCATTCATCCATTTATGGCTTTCTTTGAAATTCACATCCTATTGTACTCCCCTCCACATTTATCATTTTCCTTTCCCACTGATACCATAGATCACAGTCTCCTGACAACAGAAAAGAAACAAATGTACAGTGACTTACTCAGCATTCCATATATCAAATGTATGTACATTTGTGGAATTATGGACTTCTTGAGAAAGTGGACCTTCTTCATATTGCTTTGACATCAGAGCCACTCAATCATAGTAGAAGGTGTTAATTTTGGGTACAAATCCAATGTCAGACTAAAGGGGAATGTGTCCATGCCATATAATATTGTTTACCTGCCACCTGAGTCACGTGACAAGGTGAACAGTCCTGCTGGCTATATGATCCCACCTGATGCAGGCACACATATACTGGTATATGGAGAGATGGAAGAATTACTCAACTCGGCATCCCTTCAAGTCGATTCTCTGACAGTGTCCTCTGAGAAGCATTTCCTCACTCCTTTGGCACAGAGCTGGGTACACGTGCCATTATTTCTTAGTACCCTATGCTTAATCCTAGTACTTAGCATGTCTGTTCTGTAGTTGGTGAGTGATCTGTGTTGAGTCCTATAAGAGCACAGCCCTGTCTTATTAATTATTCTGTCATCACTCCCTAGCATGGTGCCTGACATTGTCACACAGTAAATATAGGATTTAACACAGATCCCTTACCAGCTACAGAACAGACATGGTAAGTGTCTAATGTGTGAATAAATGAGCCTTCCCTAAAATGTGGGGCTGTTTTAATGGGTCTTCAGTGATAAATTCATTGTACCATCTTTCACCACAATAGCATAGTCATTGTTAAGTCTGAACACTTTCAGAATAAATTACAAGCTATTTACAAGAGAAATGCATTCGATAAAGCCCTGATAGAAAGGAAAATCATTCCTTTTTTATGTTCCCAGAGATACCTTGTGATGAGACAAATGTCTTGACTTTAACTACATACACGTTTGAACATATGTGGTAAAACGAGGTGCCTTTAACATTTTTTTTTCTACTTTTCAACCAGAAAAAATTCTCAGGCTTTTCCCTATTTAGGAATTTTCTGACCAACTATAAGCCAAGTAACTTTATCTTTATTTTCATTAAGTAAATGACTTGCCACTGTTTTACCTCCCTATCCTTTAAAGGATGCCAGGCTTTGCTTCAACTAATATTTACTGATTAAAAATGATTTATTCATTTGACATTTTCTTCTGTTGTTTTTCTATCCTGCATTCTAAGTATTTGACTTTCTCTTCTTACACCTGATAGTGACAACAGCATGCTTGTACCAAAGACACAAAAACAGTGACATGAACATCTCCTGCATTTCATATGCATTTTACAGTCCTTTATTTACTTTGGTCAGAGGGAAAACACCTCATATTTTTAATAGGAAAATAATCAGAATTACAGAAAATAATTTATTAAATTTAGTGTCTTGAAGAAGTGAGTAAGAAACAATATAAAGATTCAGTGTTGAACAGAATTTGGCAATGCAGCTAACACTAATGAAGATAGGGAAAAATTCCAGTGAGTGTTTATTTTAAAATGTGTGTGTGTGTGTGTGTGTGTG